GGAGTTGTAGTCAAGCATCATATGGAGGGACACAGGTTACCCACCCTTGATTTGTACTATAGGCTTCTGCTTCGCTGGTGGATTCCCCATCTTTCATTTGACCTCACAGGAGCATTCCTATAATGCTTTTTCACAGGTTAACATTTCTTTTTCCCTCCCATTTCACTACAGCTCATTGAAAGATTCAGGAGAACTATGGTTGGATGCCTACCTGCATAAATAAGTACTGGCTTTGCAAAGAATGAATCAATTTGCTATCACCGTGAAGACATACCTCAGATCAGTAGGGTGCTTTGGGCACTTTTCTAATCTCCAACAAATGCTTATTGTTTCCTATTTATAGTAATTTCTGTCTTCATAATTTGTAAGATTTGCTGCTTGATCCAAAAAGAAATAAAGTTGATTTTTTGGATGTTTTGAATGACCTGAGGTAGAACAAAAAGGAAAGAAGCAAAAAGAAATGGCTTTTGCTGCTTAAAGGGCTATTTTCTCTATATTCTGAAGTGTGACATGCTATTTAGATGAAACACCCAAACAAACAGAGTTCTACATGGTTAACTTTAGATTAGGGTGAATACCTGAAACCACATAAAGGATTACACCTTGTCTCTTTCTCTTTATGGTAACCATGTTTACTATTTAGTTATGAAGCATCCGGAAAACACAGCATGAAGCTAATTTTGGCTTATTAAACAGTAGTACCATTACCTAAAATTCACAAAGCAAGTTTCTTATATTTTGGTGATTTCAACACCAAAAGACCATTTTGCTGATGTATGTCTTCTCAAAACTTATCTGTAGCTGGTGCCATAATCTTAACTGTGATTATGAGCCAAGTTTGGCTCACCACAGCTGTCAAGCAGTTTCCACTGGGCAAATGGCTCATGTCCTAAACACAGCACAGAGGACAGGAAGCTAATCATATACCTTCACTTTATATTCCACAGGAGGCCTCTGCACCAGGAGGCAGAGTACATGAACCACTCTCCGAAATAAGAGGGGGCAGCAGTGCTGCAGAAGGAAGCAGCACTGCTCAATTTCCCCCACAGCTGTGTGAGAGGTAGGGAAGCGGATGCTGGGCTAGGCTGGGATGTCCCACAACAGAACATCTCTGCCTAGGTTCTTGCATGTGTGCTCTTGCAGCACTTTCTCTGGACCAAGCCCCTTGCTCCTGCTTGAGAGACGCTGGGGTGGTGTTTGGCCAGTCCAGTGCTAGCAAGAGTGCCTCTCTCCCAAGTAGAAGCAGGAAGGAGGAGTGGCTCTTGCCCCCTTCTTCTGGAACTGGTGCCTTTCAGCCATCTGAGATGCGCAGGTAGGAGGGAGACAATCAGGAGATGCTGTCTTGGTTGGGGACACTGCTGTCCCGATGTTTGTCCCCTCCTTCACTCATGCATGAGATCTCTCTCAACTGCAAGTTCAAGAGGGACAATCAGCCGGGTGGCACAGGCCCATTGGGGCAGCCCTGCCCAGCCAATCAGCTGGCTCCTGCCTGAGCAGTCTTTGGGGCAGCAGGCACAAAGAACTAGAATGCAGCTAGGAGAGTGGATAGCTGCACTTGCACTGACTGGCAAGAGTGGCGACCACACTCTTGCCATGTGCCTTCTTTTTCTGGTTTTTGACGACCATGAGTTGAGTTTTTGAAGTTCAGATGATGGAACAAATTACTGTGGCAGGGAGAAATCCTGGAACAGACTGTTGTACCTTATCTTGGTTGACAACCACGGCAAGTCACCATGGTCAATTACCCAACACCAGGCTCAGACAATACAAGCAGTTTTTTTAAATCATCAGTTGCTTGTCAATATAGTAAAATTCTGTGGCTGCTAGACAATCTTAGGCACAATATTATGGGTGTTAGATGCTGCCTAGATGGCCATAGGATAGGTCAGAATAACCAGATTATTTTGTAAGGACAGAGCTGGAACTCTGATGGCAGAGCACCCTCCCAACTGGCAGCTATCATCCTGGTTATGATCTTAAGTCACAAGTGCAACTTCAGAGCCAGCACTGGGGGGGGGGAGCGGGGGGGGGTCCAGGAGGAGGTTGTGGTGGGTTATGAGGAACTCCGACAGTGTCCCAGTCCCTCTTCTTCATCATCAATAGCAAAACTGCCATCTACCTCCTTTGCAGCATGGAAGCAACACAGAGGAAGCCTCATCCTCCCCTTCTGCCATTGAGTAGATGCCCATAACCCTCCAAGTTCAGAGGGTTACAGGCAGCCATATTCGATGGCACCATTAGTCTAGTAAAACAGCTCCTTTGTAAACCACGAATAAATCCAATACTAAAATTCAATATTTGTGATTGCTATGTTGTCCAAAGAACTTGACCAAAGTTAGGAGAAACTTCTGTTGTCTTTTTCTTTACAAGGATATTGTGAGGGGATGGTCATATATTTAAAGGCATTAAAGTCCCAATGTAAATAAATATACCAAGTAGTTTTGGTGTCTTATTAGCTTTGGATATACATTTCCAAATTCTTGGCTATTTACATAGGCACAACTATCATAAACATTGTATAACATTTTGTAAAGTCTGTTATAAAGAAGGTCACAATAATGCAAATGGGGTGTTATTGTATAATTGTTGGAATAGTTAAAATCAAAAGAACACTAGTGATAGGCATTAATGATAGGAAATGTCAGCTACTATATGATTTTTTTTGAAATTCTGGCACTAAAATTCATGCAAAGCTAAGACAAAAGTCCATGATGACGTCTCCCTATTTATTTCAGAGCCCCCTCCCCCCAAAACCCCTTCCTTTTCAGTCATGTGTAGGCCAATTGCCACAAAAACCAAAGGAAAAAAGTTCCCATGCAAGAAACAAGCACACACATGCCTCCCAGAATGCTCATCAAAATAAGAAATTCAGCTTGTTCTTTGAAATTTAGTTTAGTTTCTTGCTTACTGTCAGGTTAATATATTGCTGATACACCATTTTTCCATTCTCACAAAATAAATGCTTGACAAATTTCCTGCCAGATCTATAGAATGTAGCGATTACCTGATTCTTTTAATTGACAAGCATAAGATGTGTAACTGAGCCAGGGTTAGAAGTGCAGAATCTCTGCAGCAATGCTATCTTAAGTATTAAAGTAACCAGACTTTAGTACTGCTTTCATTGACCTTTTTGTGCTGACCCCATCTTTTGATCACTTCAAATTGTGGTTTGGAAATTTCTAGCAATATTACATCTCAACCTCACAAAATGAATTTTGACATAAAGAACTACACCAAAGTAATACAATAACTTTGTCATATTTATTAATTTATTTATATTTACTAGACTTATTAGAAGCTACAACTCAAAACTAAAGGCATTCCAGCATTGTGCAATGAGTAAACTACCACTGATAATTCACAGCACCCCTGGTGGAAAGAGCAACACCTTTTGAGTGACTTGGCAGGCATAGCAGCCTTCAGCATGGCTGTATTTGTGGACACTAATTAATGTTAACAAACATCTGTCAGTGAAAACAGTGTCCTGCAGTTTTGGCTGAGGTGGAGCCTGATAACGGCTGTCTCATTTCTTGAGTATCACAGAGCAAAAATATGTTACGTTAAGCTCCTACATTTGCTGTTTAATATGTTTTGTTCCTAAGGGGACCTGGAGTGGAATGGAATGGCTGTTCCAGACAAGAATTTTATTTTCTTCTTTTAAACTTTGATGCTGCTGCACCACTGCCCTTGGCTTTCTTCTTGGCAGGTCCCTTGGGTTCTGGTTCTTTGTGCTTGGCTGAAGTGATGGAACCAGTAATCTTAAAGAAGTCATCCAGTCGTCCCTGCGTGCTACCGTGACGACTCTTATTCAGTCTCTTGATCCCACTACGGACTCTTTCTTCATTGAATTGCTTCTCCCCACACAAAAAAGCAACAAGCCCTTCCTCCTCTGGCTCACTCCACTTCAGCTCCACAGCTTCTGGGCTTATGACCTCAGGCTCCAAGAAGAGCTGTTGAGCCTCCTTGTGCAGCCAGTTCTCGGGCACAGAGTACTTCTTGGTATCTATTTGCTGAATGATCTTTTCTATGCTCTTGTGCTGCTTGATAAGCTCTATGGCACGCTTAGGCCCAATTCCACGAATGCTCTCACAGTAGTCACAACCTAGCAATATGCAGAGGTCCACAAACTCCTTATGCGTCAGGTTCATATCCTGAAGGACACGGTTTAGGTGGAATTCCTGAATTGGCAGTTTCTTTGCCTCACTGGATGTAAGATGTCGCATTAACACAGGGCTACCAAAGGTCAAGCAGTCCATATCCTCAGTAGCAGCTGCGTAGACCTTGTTAGCTTTCACTAGGGCTGCACAGCTAGCTTCAGCCTCGCCAGGTGCATCGACATAGGGGATGCCCATCAAGGCCAGCAATTTCTTGCACTCATCATTGTGTTGTTTGGTTACCTTTACTAGCCTCTTACTAAATTTTTCTACATTTTCCTCCTCACCTGCCTCCTTGGCCTCTTGCAGTTGCTTCTCTGCCTCAGTTCGGCGCTCGGTGCGCTTAGCCAATTCACCCGATTTCATTTGTGGGGGTTTGCCATCAAAGACATAAACAGGCTTGATGCCATTTTCCACCATGCGAATGGTGCGGTAGAACATACCCATAAGGTGGCTTGTGGTCTCGCCTTCTTCATTTTGCAACATATCAGCTCCCTGACGCACAGCAATCAAGAACTGATAAATACTCATAGATGCATCAATGGCTACCTTCCGGCCAAAGTAACTCTTAATATCATTCTCTCGAATGGCAGCAGGTGCTACATCTGCAATCAGTTTGGCCAAACCATGGATTCCCATCCTGGTAACAAAACTGAAACTGAAGTCTGACTTGGAGGTGATGAAACCTAGGAAGTAAAAGCACAGATGTGAACAAGAAAGTAGGCTTTTACTGAAACAGGATATAGTTTTTCCTCCAATTTCCTATCATTCTAAGCTGATCAGTAGGTTAATATACTATATTCACTTATTATTTACATTTGGTTAAATTAAATTTCAAGGAATTGAAGAAAAAAACTATAAAATAATTGTTTACCATTAGGAAAGGGATAACCATAGTTATTCTGTGCTTATAACAGGATACAGATGACCATAGCAGGGAAAATACTTAGATTAAAAGGTAGTTAGATGACATTTCCTAAGACTGATTTTCAAAATAGTTTACTATTTTAATAGTTTCAAGTAGTGGTAAAGATTATTAGAAAATCTCTTCCAAAGGAGATATTAGAGCAAGCTGGTTAGACAGCAGCTTTTCCTTGTCTTTCCATCCCTTATAGAAGGTAGAACTATATATCTGCAGTGTTCCATCTACGCATTCACAATTTCATCTGCGCAGGGAGGGGTTTTTTGTTATTGGGAAGAACAAAAATGTAAATAATAAACAATAATTAACCATTCATTTAAAGAAAGTGGCTAGACACAACAAAGAATCTTTTTTAAAGTTTGTATGTAATTCTTATAAAATGCAAAGGAAACTTCCTAGAGCATCCATTCCCTGTATAAGGTTATTTCCTCTAAGTAGTTCCTAATAGCTCAATCCTTGGGTGATTAAACATCATGGGCAGCGGTGGGGCTAAAGGATGATTCAGATCCCCAGATATGAGGACAGAGGCAGAAATCTCGGACCTGGGAAATGGAATTCCACACTCCAGTTCCACATTCCCAACTTTTAGCCAGCACAGAAGGAACCACACCAGAAACCTCTCCAAGAACAGAAAATCTAAGGACTTCTCATTACCTAACTATAATACATAATTATACATTTTTTTAGGTATCACATGCCTCTGAGTTGTGTTTCTTCATTTGATTTTGTTACATGACTAGTTACATCATTTTATTATAATCTTTATCAGTAGATATCTCTGAAAAATTAAGGGACTCAAACCACATCCATGCTGGAAACCAAGTACCATCTGTGCTTCTAACAAGAAAAAACGAACCTGTTAGAAATGGAGCTTTCAAAGGTCCTCCAACACAGGGGTAGGGTTTAGTTACACCAGGGGTCCTCAAACTTTTTTAACAGGGGGCCAGCTGAAAGGTGCCGGTGGTGGACGCAGGCTGCCAAGGCAGTGCCGGCGGGGAGCATGGGCCAGTGAGGGGTCAGAGCGTGCATGTGGCACATGGACTCTGAGTGAGTTCAAAACGATCTCCCCACAAGCAAGCTGCCGCTGGACGCGTGCCTGCACACATGCATGTGCGTGCAATGGGTCCAAAACCTCTGAGGCGGGCCAGATAAATGGGCATGGAAGGCTGGATCCAGCCCATGGGCTGTAGTTTTGAGGATCCATGAGTTACACTGACGAACCTTTTGACTTTTATAGAGTTCACTGACGAGGACTCAGGCAGTTTAGTCCACTGACAAACCAGTATATTCTGCTAGCAGGCAAAATTGTGCTGCTTCCAATAATTTGGAGGGAAGCATTTAGTAAATAAAGTAGTATACCTCCATTTTTAAACAGCTTTTGCTGTTGTGGGAGTTCACAAATTCTGACTGTGACAACTGTCCACAGAAAATGGAGTATGATAAGGGGCAAATATGACTGCTAGCTATCATATCTCTTCCTTAAGTCCCAGCTCAAGGCTCTTGAATGTGAAGACAATAGCAGTAGCAAAATTGATGGAATACTCTTATTTTAAAAATATGGAATCAGCCCTTTGTACTAAGCTGAGCAAATTCCATCAGGAAATGTGGCTCAAGGAGTATCTGCTGTAAGCTTGCTGGTAATTTAAACACAGTTCTGTTGGACTGGAGACCATTTCCATCTAACGGTGTACTGTGCTATTCCCAACAGTGACCAGTCCGATGTCTCTGCAAAGATTGCAAGCAGGGCTTCCAGCAGAAACAACCCAATTCCTCTTCTGTGACTTTCTGTTATAATTCCAGTATGTTTAGTAGCAGCAAACAACCCTTGCTTGCAGGAAGAAGAGGAGGTATGGGGCGGGGGCGGGGGGAGAAGTCAGGCAAGTTCTATAATCAGGCAACAGCTTCAAGCAGCAGATTTTCAGTGTTTTAAAAGAGCAACAGACTGATCAATAATTTAGTGCCATCGTATTTCTATTACAAAGGAAACTGAAAGGCACTTCGAGGTACCAAAATAACCTGGCCAGCCTTGGGTACTATGCAATTGGACTCGAATTTCAACTAGCAAGTTACCTTGCAGCAGCACTGTGCACCAGCTCTCCTCAATTGCCGCACTGGCTGGGGCTGCTGGGAATTGCAATTCATTATTTCTGGAAGGCACCAGGTTTGAGAAGGCTGCGGTGGACCTAACTTGAGCCTCCCGATAAAAACAGGCCGGAAGCATCGACCCGTTTAGACTCACGAAGGGCCACTGGCACAATAAATCTCGGCCACCACCAAGCATCACGCTTTGGCCTCGTTTCAGCCAAGACCAAACGCCCCTTTGGCCACTCACGGTCGGGCACACACTTAATACAGACAGGCCTAAAGTCCAAAGCTATTAAACAGCTGCTACAGCAACTTAACTCACCTTGCGGGCCAGCAGCCTCCTAAAGTCCAGTCCGCGAAACAGACTCGGGGCTGGCTGAGAGCCTGCCGGAGCGCGGGAAGGGAGGAGTGCCGTCCCTCAGCTTCCAAGGGCCGCGCCAAGGGCCAAGCGAAGCGCAAGGCCGCGCGCAAACGCGTCTCCGACCGCCGCTGGCCGTTGAGCCCCTCGCCGCCTCCGGCTGCCACGCGCCCGAAGCTCGCTGCGCAAGTAGCCCGGCCGCCGAGTCCGGTGGTCCAGTTCCCGCCTCCTCTCTTTTGGCGCCTTTCAACTCCCGCGCCCGGCGCAGGCAGAAAAGGAGGCGGGGCGTCACTGGGAGATGTAGTTCGTTCTCGCGGTTTTTCCCGCTTGCCCGCTCGTACAGGCATCACCGGACTACAACTCCCGGCGGCCTGCGAGAGAGAGCCTTTTGACAGGGAGGGAGATAAGCCGGCGGAGTTCCGGCTGCGAAAAGGCGGAGCGAAGCGGAGGAAGAGACGTGTCTTTTTGCCGACTGTGGAGAAGTGCGGGCGCCAAGGGAGCCATGGTAAGGGGCTGGGAGGAGGGTTGGTGGCAGCCGCGCCCCCCACGTTTGTCAGCCGTAGCGCTCCTTTTTCTGACTGCCGCCTTTGCTGGTGGGTCTGCTCGGTTCTGTCGGAGGACCGATAACCCCGAAGGAACCTGCAAAGGATGGTCGGTGGGCGCCAATGGTCGACGCTCGCTGACTGAGATGTCTCTTGAAAACGGCCTTCCCCCGCATTGGGGCCCAGCAGATGTGCTGCCTGTGGGGACGATGGGTGTTGTGGTTCAGCACGTTCGCAGCGCGCGAGATGGGAGAGACTGCTTCACAGCAACTGAAATGCTCTCACGTATTCCTTCCTTTCTTCCTCCCCCGCCCCCCATTAGGAGCTTGAGACGATGAGCAGATACACCAGCCCGGTGAACCCGGCCGTGTTTCCACACCTCACCGTGGTTCTCCTGGCCATCGGCATGTTCTTCACCGCTTGGTTCTTCGTGTATCCTCTTAGTGCCCATAGCAGCCCAGTTCAGTTGGTGGGAATCCAGCGTCCAGAGTCATTTTGGTTGCCCCAGTGTTCTGGGGTTTAGGGTTGCCAGCAACTGAGAGGGTACCTGAATGTTTGTTTATTTATAATGCTAATTTTAAATTCTTCTTTATTACAGGGGGGCAGATTTTTCAGTCTGCCTTTCAGCCAGACTATCAGGGTGGTATAAAATAAAACCAATATAAACAAACAGTGCAGAGTAGCAGAGTTTATAAAAAATAAGCCAAACAGAAAAGAGCATAGAGAAAGTGGGAAATCCTATGGTCCTTAAGCTGCATTTGAAGTTTATCAGGATACTTCAAATTCTGATTCAAGATTGGAGATGAATAGTGCATGGTGTAGAGACAGTGGATGAGACATTTTTCTCTCTTTCCAATAGCACTTAAACCCAGGATCTTCCCATGAAGCTGATAGGTGGAAGGTCTAGGACATAAAAGGAAGTACTTCTGCACACAATATGGAATTCACTGCTACAGGAAGTGGTGATGGCCACCAATCTGAGGACTGGACAGATTCATGAGGGAGGTGGCTATCAGTGGCTACTAGCCTTGCTGACCATGTGCTATGTCCTTTACCAGAGGTGGCCTGCCTGCATACGCCAGTTGCTGAGGAGCTTGAGCAGGAGGAGGTCGTTCCCACCCTGCTCAAGGAATCCTGTGGGCAGCTGGTTTGCCACTGTGTGTATGGAGTGCTAGACTTGATTAACCTTTTGTCCTATTCAGCATGGCTTTCCTAATGTTCTTAACCTTGGAGTGACCTGGAGCTCTGATCCGCTCCCCTTTGCAGCTTGTGCTGAAAGAACTGCTCCAGTTGCTCTCCAAGGTCAAGAAAGCAACATCAGAGAGGGGCAAGGAAGGCAATTAGGTAGACGGAGAGGGGAAGAAATTGGAGAATGCCAGCATATGAGTTATCTTGGGGCTTCCCTTGCCACCTTCCCTCTTGGTTTAGAATGCTGTTACTAAATGGGCAAATAGGCCTGCCTTGTGAAAAGACAAGACAGAGAGGCAATAGCTTTTTCTCCTTCAGCCCTATGTAGGATGCTTGTAAGTTCCCACATACACGGGATTACAACTGTTATAATAGGATTGCACCTTAAACTAGTGTTTCTTGTTAAAAGCCTAGCCAAATAAAAATACCTTTACCGGAAGGAGAAAGTGCCACTTGGAGTTTCCTCTGGTAGCAGCATACATTGATGAGCTTCTCCACTGTGCAATTTGTATAACATGATTCTATATTATTATTGCTTGCTTTTCTGTACCATCCAATTGCCAGTTGTCAGGGTGGTACTCAAAATGTTTATCAGAAATCCTGGAATTAACTCCAGGGGTTACACCTTTAAGATGCAGAATTCTTCTCAGGGTTTGGACTGGACATCCCTATGCCACATCATTGTGAAGAAAGGCTAAATTCTAATACTCTGTACTGGTAAAGAGAATCTTGAAGATTGAATGTAGTAGAAAACTCAGGAACCCCTGCACCCCAAAGCCATTAAGAGAGATTTTCAAAAGGTTTTCAAGTTAACCTTTTCTTCTTTGTTAATTACTATCTTGGTACCATGGTAAATAATTTTGAGTGTTAAGTGTCATGAATTCAAGTGGTTATTTGAAATAGGTTACTGCTTCTATGATGTGTCTGTGTGGTTGATGCATAGACAGGGAAAGAGGAATGTGCACAGCAGAGATGTATTTTGCAGTACAAACCTCACCTTGTAGAAGTAATCCTACAAACTTCACAACGAAATATTTAAAAACAATACAAAATATACCAGTTAAAACATCATAAAAGATAGCAGTACAAAATTTAAAGCAGAAAAACAAAATTATACATTAAAAAGACAGTTAAACCCAACCAGCAGGCTCCAGTAACTAATTAAATGCTCCACAGTTGAAGATTGTCTTTACCTGGCAGAAAGATAGTAAAGTTGGTGCTAGACAGACCTCAGTGGGGAACTTATTCTAAAATGGGGGCTGGGGGCCACTGAAAAACCTCTTCTTGTTGCCACTATCCAAGCCTCCCTTGGAAAGCCCCAGAACTTGATTGTAGTGTCCAGGTGGGTAGTTTTCTCTACAACAACCAGATTTTATGTTTGTTTTTCTCCCTTTACTAAATGGGGCACTATAAGCTTTGTGTGAAAAATGCAGATACTTAACTGTCAAACATTAAAGGTGGAATATTAAATCATGAGGAATAACTTAAACATTACATTCCATATTTGTGTCTCATGTTAAATTAAGAAGTCTTCTGAAAGCTTCCAGTACTTTCAGAACTGTCAGTGGAATTATGGGTGACCAAAGACTCGAAAGCAAGTCCTTGAAGTATAGAAAAAACTGAGAAATTATCATATCCTTGGAATTTGGAAGAATATGTAAAATTTCAGTTTCAAAGGCTGAACTGAAATTTCCTAAATTTGTACTAGAGAGCAGCATGGATTGTGGGAATTTACAGGAACGTTCCCCCCCCCCCATTTTGATGGCATGAATGTTTCTTTGAAAGTGTTCAGGATGATATATAATGCTGAAGACTACTTAGTACTCTTTTGTTGTACTGGGCCTGCTCCTGTTTCTTTCAACTTCAGTCTCACAGAAATGAAGCCGCTGAAAGCTTTTCTATGGTATATGCTGGGGTAAACTTCATCTGTATAATTTTTGCATGTTGGGCTGCTGCTAATGGCAGAGGGAGTGTATGGGCATTCTTCTGACATTTGAGTCTGGTTATTGCTTTAATTAATATCTCAGCTATGAAGTAACTTCTACCAAGTATACACGGGACATTTACAAGGAACTGCTCATCTCCTTGGTGGCTTCACTCTTTATGGGTTTTGGAGTACTTTTCTTACTGCTGTGGGTTGGAATCTATGTGTGACAGTAAAGCAGGAGCTATTTCAGGTAAGACAGGAAATTAGGTCTAGTGGCATGGATTTTCTGGACAAGTTTGAATTAGATTTTTTTCCAATGACCAATTAGAATCCGATACAACACATTTTGATGTATTTTAGATGCAGTTCTTTCACCTGCAGGGTAACTGCTTGTTAGCCTCTGAATCTGAAAGTTTATAACATCCAGTGCAAGGTGTGAGGCATGGTAATAGCTGCTGCGTTTCTCAGCCTGCACTTTATCTAGACAACCAAACAGGGTTTTGGCTGTCTAGATGTATGGCTGGCAAGGAGGAGGGAAGGTGCCTGGGGCTCCCTTTCCATCTCCATGTCCAGGTGCGATTTGGGGCAGTTGGCACAGTTCTTTCTGTGCCAGCTTTGAGGGGGTAGGACAGTGCAGGGGCTCAGTCTCCAAACAGCCTCTAGATGGTGTCAACTTATACCGTTAGGCATAACAGTTAAAAAGAATGTTTATTTTAGATGTTAGCTAAATAACTTTAACATGTTTCCACTAGTCAGAAGTCATTTGAACTGAAATGTTTAAGGAAAATCTATAAGCACACTCTTAAGTGCAGGCTTAAGCATGTATATTCAAAAGCAAATCCCATCGAGTACAGTAAGTTTATAATGCATTGCTGAAATTCTGTATGCACTTACCTAGCAAGTGGCTTTAATGTTATATTCAAATTAATGCAAAGCTTTAGCAGAAATTAACTTTATTGAAAAACTTGTATATATTTTAAGACATAAGTCAATAACATGCACTTCTTATGACATTGTTTCCTTAAAATATAAACAGTGAAAACTGAACATACTAATTTTTGCATGCCCAAGACATTGTTGCACATCTAAAGCTACTATCTATGCCTTCTTCTTAGCTACAGTCACCTGACTATAAGTTGAAATTTTTAGAATGCCAAATTTGACTGGTAAATCCATTTATGAATGCTACAAATTAATCTTATCAAGCAACAGTGTGTTAAAGGAAAGCTTTCTGTGGAAAAATGTAGAAGTTGGTTACAGAAAAGTTACCCCCCCCACAAACACTGATGCCTACTTAATAGTCTAAACGTGTAGACTTAACTTCCCTTCTGATAAGTATTTATCCAATATGTAACTTCATACTAAAGCTTCCTGTAACATAATAGGGCAACACCATACTTTATGTCCTGACATGATTGCATGATTGGTATTTGTGCATGGATTTCTGTAAATTGCATAGACTTGCTCACTGAGACCTGCAGAACCTATACTTTTTTGGGGTCCAGATTTATTCCAACAACACCAGAAGCTTTCTTCTCTGAGCATTTCAGAGCAATGTTGCTTCCCTTCCCTTCTGAAAAGGGGTGTGAATATGGAAAGCTTGTGTTCAAATATGGTAACAGCTTGTTCTCCTTGGATTTATAACAGAAAGTGTTTGCATGCCGGAAACTCTAGGAGCTGCTTTAAGTCCAAAGCTTCATTGCTTTGTATCTGTTTAAGAGCTTGCTAAACCCCAGCCTTGTCCTCTTAGCCAGTGAATAATTCAGTATCTATACCATGGGTATACTCGAAAACACAATATCTAGGCCTTTATCATGAAAGCCAGTTTAAACATGCTGGATCTGAATGATCTCCAGCTTTCATTCTGTCTGCTGGTAATGTCAAATCCCGAGTGTACCATTAGTAGATGTACTGGTTAGCCTTCCTAATGAGAGGCCCAACTGCATAATAATAGCACTGCTGTAGTCATAAAGCATCACCCAGCAAGCGCTTGACTGGTTAGTGTGGCTGAGGTCATCAAGAGCCATTCTTGCTGAAAGGATGGCCTACAGCACTGGGGCTCTTTAGCTGTATAAAAGTAGGACATGGTAAGGGTGATATTAGACTTGTATGCCATAGAGAAAGTGGATAGGGAGAAGATGTATATTATGTGTCCAGTTTGGATACTAACACTGAAAACTATATTAATGGATAAGTATTTGAGAAAATAGTTTGATCCAGCTATTTCTGTTGTTCTCATTTCAGGTTCCAGAAGCCTTAGTGAAGCTCCTTTTTTATTTTTGTACTTAATATGGCTCATCACAGCTGTGGACTGTTTTTCTGACACTTTCCTATATTCCAGAATGAAGTAACATCAAATCAATAAATTTTACTCTGTGATGAGCTGAACTTCATGCTCTTTATTCTTTCAGTCCTTTTTTCCTACCACATACAAAGACCCATTCCTTTCATCCTTTCATGGGTCTATAAACTTTTATTACGGTCTGCTGTTATGCCTAGATCTCCTACAGGAATGAAAGGTGCAGCTGAAATGATACATAGCCAAGATCCTTGTGTCTGTACTTCTGATTTTTACTGACTCTTGGAATTCAGTTACATTTGTTGTACCATAGTAAAACGAATGCTTATGATGTGTTTGTCATGCTCACATGTTATCTTTAGGTATATTCCTGGTAGTGTAATCTTTAGCTTGAACTGAATAGTCCCATATTTGGCAATGGTAATATTAGGCTGTCACTGAAGAGTACTGGACCATGGTAAAAACACTTCACGCATCCGATGAAATGGACTGTAGCTTACAAAAGTTTTTGCCGTAATACATTTGTTGATTTACCGCATGCATCGGCAACATGTAGTCATTGGGCTGCATGTGGCCCCTGCTGCCTCCAACAAGAATAAAATTTCATTTTATGCCAAAGTACAGTGATACTGCTACAGAGGTTTATTGAAGACAAATCTATTTTTGAGCTAGGTTTGTCCCCCATAAGCTGTTTTTTGGTCACTCTTGAGGTAGGGGCAGACGTGGGGTCAGTAGTCCCTTGTTTAAAATATCTCATGGCTATTTCTGTTACAACAGAGCAATATGGCTACCCTTCAAGGAACAATAGGGATGAATGCCTGTCTTGAGATCTAAAGCAGTAATATATTTTGTGCCAGACAGTTTAGCTGCTAAGCCAACACAGGTCTGGACATGTGAATCTCTTCTAATTCAGTGCACTCCTTACATATAGAATGTGTATCCTTGTAATTGGTGGCATTTGTGCCAGAGCAGAGGACAACATGCAATTCTAAAGCCACAGCATGTTCATCACTTTTCTAAAGTTTGGATACAAACATAAGGTCCTTTTGACTTTCTTTCAATGTGCAGTACCCATTTCAAGGCATATTTTAATCTTTTTAAAGAAAGTGGATTTTAGTCAGAACTGTTCAGAGATGGAAGACCTTAAGTGTACAAAAGTGTTCCATTAAGAGATACAAGGTGATTCCCTCAGTGCAAGATTGTAGGGAAGAGAGCCTTCAAGTGATTTTTTAAAAAAAAATAATCCTGACTCCAATCTAGCTAAAGGTAATTCATGGAAATCTGTGGGCTTGCATAGCTATACCTCAAAGGAGCTCCCTCACAAACTCAGATTTTCTGTTACACACGCACAGCTTGAGCTGCACAGCCCTCCTTGAAACTGAGACTTGCCACCTCCACTGGTTCTTACTGATTTCAACTGGATTTTAAGCTGACTTGCTTTAGGCACATTACAGTATACATGAAAATCTCTGGGTCACATCCAGTCCTAGGCTTGCTTAGATGCACTGAAATGAATCAAGACTAACTTCAGTCCTATTGATTTCAGTGGATCTACTTGACATAGGTCTGGATCCAACCCAGCAACATTTATTAGAAGTGCTGCAAAATATAATCTACAAAAAATGTTTTAATCAACTCAACAGTTTCCTTATCAAGTAGCAGATTAAAATACTAGTTTTTCATAAAAGGTGGCAAACACCATCCTAAAAGATGATTCCCTTCTCTTGCACACAGGAATGTTGTCTTTAAGATGCCTGCTTTGATGCATGAGTATACTGTCCAATATAAATGTTTTTACCCAAAAGGTTAAATTGAGTATAACTCAAGAGGCATTATCTTATTTAGCCCGATTACTAATTTTTAATTAGATTTATATCCCACCTTTTTTCTTACCAAGCACATAATGTTCTTCCTCTTATTCTCAATCCTATCCCCACAACAACCACCCTGTGAGGTAGGTTGGCTGTGAGGCTGTGACTGGCCCAAAGTCACCCAGTTGGCTCCATGGCTTGGGGAAGGACTAGAACCCGGATCGCCTGAGTCCCAGCCCCACACTCTTAACCACTACACCACCCTGGCTCTTCCTAATGTAACTGCCATTGTACTAAGTGTAAGCTACTTCCAGCATAACACTGAGCATTGGCTGGTGCAGTAGAAACCTGTCCTGCAAATGCTGCTGGTGCTATGTTAAGAAGTAGCTTACGCAAGTGTGATTTTATGTTAGCGATCTGGTTGTATAGAATACTGCCCAAGGTTAATCAATTTAATATTTTTATATTTGAGCTGCATCTCTAATTATACTGTAAGAATTCAATCCCATGAGATGGAGGAAGAAGCGAAGAGCCAATCTTGAATACAAAGTAGTATACTTATATATTTATTTATATAGGTACATTTCTTAGGAATAAAGGTCTAGATAAGCAAAACAGAAGTAGAGGAGTCCTGAGTATTAGAACTCCAAAACAAAATATAAATACAAACCAGAAAGGTGGCGGGGGGGGGGGGGGGGAGCAACCACACATCATCCACCAAAGCAAGATATCAATAAAAACTTCAATTAATATAGCACTCACTAAAGATATGATGGGCCATATACAATGATTAAAGCTGTGATAGCAACATTTAAACAAAACAAATTAGTGCTTTATCTTCCTTAAGGCTCACAGTGATGGCACAAAACTTATTTACAGGCTTTAAGCTTTAACAAGAGAAAAAATGCTTATGAAGTTTCCTTTGTGACTTATGTTCACAACCCCTCAGAGCAGCCAGACTTTAAAAGCTGGCTCCATATCCATCTTAGGTTTTTTTGACCCCCAAACTAATTTTTCATGTTCCAGCTGTCAGGAAAAAGAATTTCCTACTAGATGGGAAGCTGTGACTCAGGCTCAGGAAAACGTCCTGTTGTTATCTCTTCATGCTATTTTGGGAAAATGTGCAGATAGAACAAATGGGGAGAACACCTCCTGAGACCAATGAGCAGGGAGGGAGAAGATGCTACAGCTGGCCAGTCCAGCTGTCACCCTCATGATACCAACTGAAACATAGATCTTAACTTAGTATGAGACCTCAGTTCTGCTAGTTCTCTCCCCTACCCAACCTGATACTGTGAAGCACTTCAGGATAAAGGTGCTATATAATTACAGTAAGTTAAAGCATTTCAAAACAAACATTAAAACGGATGTAAAGAGCACTACTGTTATCACAGATTATGTGTATCGGATTCTCAAGAGACAATGCTGATGTGAATTTACCAGTGAAAATGTTTGATATATGTACACCCCTTCTCTCAGATTCCACCTGATAGACTGGGAGAAGTAAAAATGATTGGTTAATGAAATTTACTTCTAATGTAACTATGTTCCTACTGCCCTCACCCTGATCCAGATAGGTAAGAAACAGTGGATGGTTGGCTGGGGATTTCTTTTGCTTTTGTCTTAGTGGGGAGTGGGCAACGGGATAGTCAGGTCAAAATGTGAATGTCCTCAACAGATTGTTTTTAATTAAATGGTTCTTAACCACCAGTCTAAAGACTTCTTACTGCCAGTCCATAGCAAGGGAGTGTCTGTGGCCTCCTCCTGCTGTAAAGGAGAACAGAGCCCTACCTGGATTTAGATGACAAAGGTGCCTCTCAATACTGATCAAGGACAAATCCGTCGCCTCCACGAGCTGCTACTTGCATTGCTCCAGTGGAACAGGAGCTTCTTCCTACACTGCTGAGGTAACATGGGGTTGTGCAAGATCTTACTGGGATCATAGTGACATGGCTTAAGGATAAGATCCTCCAGTGAGATAACAGTCTCTGAAAGAACCTGCAAGCATGGGAAGAAGTGGCGGAACAGGACCTCCCATTCTGCTACTGGCAATAGGGGTTTGGCACTCAGGACTTCAAAGGTAGGAGCAGGGGAAGAAAAGGGTGTTTCCTATTTAGTTGGACTCAGTCTCTCGCTATGGGAAAATAGTAAGCAGCAGTTTGAAGGCATGGTGAAGAAGTATTTGGTACCAGACCTTCATGGATGATTCATCCTTGAAGGGCAAACACAGAGTTAGGGACAGGGTTGTATAGCTACAAAGTGCATCCACCAGTGATAGACAGTCTCCAGCAGAGACTTCATGCAAACTAAGCAGGGAGACCTGACAATGTGGTGAAATTAGCTGGGCAGCACTATGGGAACTATTCATGGGTCCCCCGTGGCATAGTATTTGGACATAGCCAACAAAGGATGCCTTTAATGAGCCTAATGCTCCAGGTTAAATCTTGGGAGAGATTAAGGGCGTGCACAAACAACAATGATCCATCGGGTGTGCAAGTAGATAGTCCAAATGTAGAAAAGCAAACACTCCAGTGCAATAGAATAATGTTTAAGGCTCCTCTCCCACTGGCTCCTTGCCCAAACTAAGGCACCTTGGAAAAGGGAGGAGAAAAACAAGAATGGTGGTAAGACCCTGGGGCATCAGTAAAGAGGTCTCCAAAGTTCATGGATCCAATCAAGGGAAAGGAGAAGAGAGAAGCAAAGGTTACAGAGGGTAGGTTGGAGAAACTGGCTCCCTGCCATTTGAAGCTTCTGTCAGTACACATTGTCTCACAAATGATATGTAAAGCAGTTTTGTACTTCTTTCATTTAATACAAGGCCATTTTCATAAGTGATACTTAAAAGTGTAATCCTATTATGTGTCTACACAGAAATCCCAACAAATTATTCTGAGTATAGGGCGACTGCCTAAATCAATTTTTGCATTTCCTTAATTTGTAATTCAAATAGAGAGGAATTGTCTTAACTAAACTATATTTTTAAACCCCCCCTATATATTCAATTAAAAGCGGTGTGCTTCCACTTTCTAGCTCATCCTATATACCAGGGACGGCCAAACTGAGGCTGGTGAGCTGCATGCAGTTCCTATTTATTTTGCATTTCACAGCCCATGGGTGCCTATTTTGGGGTCTCATGTGGCTCTTCCACTGAGCAAGTCAGGCTACCTCTGCTATATACCATTAACAAACTCTGTATCTCAGAATGAGTGATGTTGGTGACATAGTGCCAAACTACTTAAAGGAAGAATCTAATCATGCATCCGCTGCACCATGTTGAATGGTGCCGCTGGGTCATTTCTCACTCTGACCCAAGAGCTGATCACATTGCTCTGTCTCTTGGGTCAATGATGCCAGCTAGTGACGAATACTAGCAATTGCAGTTTTAGATTCCTTATTGCAAGAGATGAGAGAAGCAGCGTTTTGTGAGCTTGCCTAAATCCTCAATGCTTGTTCTCATTTTAATTTCCAGCTTTTTTTTTGGGTTGGGGGGAGGATCTTAGAACAGTAAAAGTGCACACGTCACATGGGGAAAGTGTTCTTTTCCGTGCATGTTTTTCAAACTCCATCGCTGTTGACTAATGTACAAAAATGCTTTTTTTTTTAAAAAGCACAATTCAAAGTGCACATTTAGAAAAGAACACCATTACTGTTCAAATGCAGTTACACATTTGGAAATTTGCTAACATTTCTTGGGAAAAATTACTCTTACCTGCATCTGAGTTCGGAACAGCGAACAAGACATGTTTGCATGATTATGAGCAGAAATATATTTCTCATACACCCCAAGTATAAGATGACTGACTAGGCTAGTGAGTGGGCTTCTGTGCATCTGCGATGGCCTATGCGGGCCAGAGCAAAGAGACACTATCAGATTCACAAAAGTCCCTCCAGTGGGCTGCCAAATCGCCACCTCTTCCTTGGCCTACATCTTTGGGCCTCTCTCTTTTGCTCCTAGTCCCAGTTGCCATTTTTCCTTATGACTGCTCAGGAGAGATCAATATATACAGCCTCATAAGGAAAGATAGTCGTTTTCCTGACTGGGACACTGACAGTGAAGCTGTATCTATTATGTGACCACAAGTTAGCCCAGTTTGATACTACAGGGCCTCTGAAGAATCATGGGAACTCGTTTGTTGAGGGTGCTGGATAATTTCTATCAGAAAATCCCTAACTCTTCTTAGAGAACACCAATTATCAGGATTCACTAGGAAGAGACGATAAGAATTCAGTCAGTGCAAATCTGTAACATGGACAAACCTTTACAACATCAAATATGTGGAACTGCTGATGGTCCTAGAGAAGCTAGTCAGGGGTGGGACTTGCCTATATGACAACATAGGAAAATGGCAGCTCCATCCATGAATACAGGCACCACAATATCTCCCACCAATATATTAAAATGCACACACCAAACTACCAACTGAGAGCCTCCCATAAAACATTATCTTTTTACTATAATAACCCGATTTAAAACTGCTTGTGTTAGGAGATTAAAATATGCCAAAGGTGGGAATGTTTTATCTATGGACTTTTGTATTTATAATTATATTCAGGATCACAGAGCAGTTCTAGCAGCTTCCTATTTTATTTTCTCTCCTTGCTTTCTCTTTCTCCTTTCCTTCCTCCTCCAAGTTCTCACTCTTATATAGAAGTCTGATTCATTTTGCAAAAATCAGGAATCTGACCTAACCCACCCCCACTTTGAATGGAGGGTAAACACCTGACAGGTAGGGTGGTTGTGCTTGTACATCTGCCTTAACTCCTCTAGGCACCCAGTTCAGACTCCGGGTGAGGCTGGTGCTCAGCACTGGCCCACTTTGGTTTCCTATGAGAGACAAATAGATCAATAATTAAGCAAGCTGTTTTTTTTTTTTAAAAAAAAGATCAGTGGTTTAGCACGTTAAAACCTTGTAACAGTAAATTACTCAAAATATACTCAGAATTCCAAGGAGACTCAAGGCTTGGAGTGGAAAAAAAGTGTTCTGTTGTCTGACAGAGACCCCTTGAGGATAAAAAAGAAATTCAGTCTGGTGATGTTCCGTGTATGGCAGATCTCTTCTGATGGTCTTCCTCTTCAGCCTCTGGCACAAAGTGCGAATGCTGAGCAAGGGCTTTGCCACATGCTCTTTGGGACAAATGCATTTCTTCTGCTCTGGATGTATGGGACTTCAGAGAATCGCTCCAGTGCATATAACAGCCGAAGCACTGCAGAGTTCAGTGGCACAAGCCCAGTTACTGGTTTCCTCAAGCAAATCCAAGGGGAGGGGGGTTACAACTCCTAGACAGCTTCTTGAGAAGCATATTCAGAACTAGCCCTGAAAATAGAAGGCACACTGGGAGCAAAACTAGTCTGCCTGAGACTTGCAGAGTTGCTTTTGTGAGGTTTTTGAGGTTTGCTCTCCCTGGAATGTAACTATATGGCAAAACAAGAGGCCGGAAGAAGCCAGAGGTAAATCCCGTAGCTTTTCCACTGGTTGCTGCTGTTTGAAATGGCCTGTCATTCCTGCGTTCCAGTGTTGCCAGGCTGTCTGCAGAGCATAAATTTAGAGAAATGGCCAGCTGCCAGCCAGAAGATCAGAAACTCCAGTGTATGACTTGCAACACATCCAAGCAGAATATTCCTTTAAAGAAAGGAATCCAGTGTTTCAGCTCAGAAGAGGGCTCTGAGCATCACCCATGAGAAATGTCAGTGTCTTTGAAAGCTGCTTCAGTGGCTTTCTGGGCATTGAGGTCCATTCCTAGCCAAGCCATGTTTTACAGTACTGAGAGGTCCAGACAGAGTGAACCCAGTTGTGGTCCAGTGTAGAATTTTCAAATCCAGTGTAAGAAAGAGAGAAAAAAAAGGAATGCCAGTTTTTGTAGAATAAGAAAAAGGAAGCCTTGATATTTCAAGGTTTTGCTAGTGGCAGTATTCCTCCAAAGTTGCATGACATTCTAATGTCAGTATCCCACCACTAGGAAAAAAGAATCAAACCAGCTCAAAGCCCAAAGGGGAAGGGCTTACAGATTAGAGGCAACAGGATAGGGCTTGGGGTTCATAGAAGAGAACATCCAGTCCAGTCGGTCTTGTGAGCCCATTTCAGCTCCTTTCGAAGGGCAGCCATGCTCCAGAGACTCACTCACACAGCCAGTAGAACTGGAAGTAATAGTCAGTAAAGAGAGAGCCCATCTGTTCCACAGTGCTACTGCAGTTAGCTTCGCCCTGTGCCAAGAGAGGGAAAAGAAAATAGGGTCTCAGGAAAGTAGACACTTTCATCGAAGCAGCAGGACTCATCCTTGCAGAATGACAAGATTTAGTCATCACAAAGTTGCTGCAAGCAGCTCCAAGGCACTGTCCTGGCTTTGGAACACAAAATCTCATAATATGGTGGGGTCCTCAATTTTAAAAAAAGGTATTAATCCTTCTGTTGAAGAATCAAGTGGAAAGGGGGCCCAAATGTTGAGCCAAAGAGTTCTATCCAATGTTAGTTTGACAACGTATTGAAGGGCACAGCAGACTAAGATTGGATGAAACCTGCTGAATACAAACTGAAGTGGAAATTAATGTTCTTTCTCATGTTTCTGGAGCCGAATCTGATTCTGAGGTGGAGGGTGACGGAAGGCAAATCTTGGACCTCACAAGCAGAGAATCTATTTTATATATATATATATATATATATATATATATGCGCGCACACAGAGCAAAGGTGAGCCTACCATCTGCACACTCACTTCCCAGGTAAGCAGGGATGACATAGGAGCAGAAATTCAGTTTGAAAAAGATGGGAAACCTGTGCCAGTTGATCCAGCTTAAGCTTGTATTAGGGCTCTTTAGCCAATTCAGTCTTTACCTACTTCCAAACTGAGCCACAGGTGCATGGCCGGCTCCCTAGAAGTCCAATTACCTCTTGTGGCTGAGTTCCATGTAGGAAGTCATAAGAGACGGATACTTAAAGGGAAAACCCAACAGCCTTAACAGATGTACTGGTGGTGAATCTGGATTGTGAGACAAGATTCAATGGGATGGATCCAGGTTTAGTCAAACTGACAAAGTAGATTCAGTGGAATCAATGGGACTTAAATTACACACGACTAAGTCCCATTGATTTCAATAGGTCTACTCCAAGGATGACTAAATCTTGATCCAACCCAACATCTTCATTAGTTTTATGGATTTGTATACTCTCTATTGCAGATTAAAGCTAAATGACATGTGCACCCCTACTGTGCATTAGAGACGTTGCTTCCATCTCTCCTTATCTTTTTTTAATAGGTGAGAGATGCTCACACCATCCTTGTGCATATTTCCCCACAGATGGAGAGCATCAGCTCATTCCTCTACCTCTGCATGGCTTTGGAGCCCTCTACTCCATTGTACCAGAAGCAGTCTGATGCTGTAGGAAGAGTCTGTAATGGAATGATATTCTCCTTTCCCTCCTAACTGGAGAATGAATTGTTGCAATGCAGCACATGGCAAGGTCTTATACTCACAGGTCTAGCTAATCGGAAATGGTAGGTAAACTCCTGGAATGGCATCATCACCACGGGCCAGTGGTACGTTGCTGCCTAGGAAGATGAAGAAACAATAACACCTGGGGTGAAACGGAAGCTGCTGGTATTGAAGACCAACACATTTCCCAGGCTAAGGCCAGATGGAGTGAATGTTTGTTGCTTGCTGCTTCCCCTTTCTGGCAGGAAACAAATGACAGAAGAGCAGAGAGCAACATACACTATTCCAGCTCCAGGGCCAAGCTACACAGTCTCCCACTTGGCAAGGGGAGGGTGAATGGAATAAAAGAAGGGACTAAAAGCATAATAAACAGAAAAATGACATTTACTAAATATAGTGCTTCATTGAAATAAGGGACAAGCATCCTCTGTTCCCTGAAAGACATTATATATTTAAACCACAATCGCAGAGAAAACGAAATGAGAAAATAAGCTAATAAAGGCCATTTATGAAGATGGTTTACTTATGGTGAATGCTTAAGCGTTCTTTATACCTGACACTGAAACATGTGTGTTAAACTTGCTGTCCTTTTCTCTCTTCAACTTTCAGTTTGCACATCCCTTACAGTGCAATCATGCATATGTCTACCCAGAAGTAAGCTCTGGATTCAATCGGACATCGGATTGCAGGTGTCAAGACTCAAGGCCATAAAGTATGTGAGCTGAAGGTGCTAGTTTCATTTTGTTTTATGACTGGGCACCTGGATGCCACTTTTGCTACCTGGCTGCCAGACACCCGCCACCTGAGAGACTTTTCAATCCTACCTGGGTGTCAATTACATCAGAGAAGGTGTCTGTGTTCACAGTGGTGTGATGACATGGATCGCTGGAAGTGAGACCACAAAAATAGCCAGACACAGCAGAGGAAGCACTGGGGGAGAGAAGAGGGACAAGACAACTTCTAGTTTAAGGCAAGCAACCAGGCAGCAGTGCTGGCACTTACTGAACCTCTTCTAGTGCCTTCTGCGGCCACTCAACACGATACAAGTGCCACAACAAAAAACAGAGAAGAGGGGGCCACGTAAGGCATGTTGCACTCCTGTCAAGAGGGAAAACAGCAGAAGAAAAATGTATCTTCTCTGATCTCCCGTTGAGTTTGGAGCTGAGCCATAATGGTCAGCCGTTGAAGTTCCCAGCAGGTGACTTGGAAGGGCAGGCAAAGCAGGCTCTTGAAAGTGCTCTGCTGACAAGCCAATCGCTACTTCATTGCCAGACTACATGAAAGGAAGGAGGGCCACAAGCACATCAATGCCAGCAGAGGGGAGAATCTGTTGCACGAGCCTGGACTCCCTCACAAGCCACTTCCCGGCTGGAAGGATGGAGAGTCACACACCGGACAGGTTCTGTTGGACTCACCCGGGTCTGCTCATTTCGCCAGGCCAAGCATGGGCAGACACAAACGGGCACACGAAGGAGCACGTTCACTCGTTCAAACAGAGGACACCACCTTATGCCAGGTCGGCCACAGGCCCATCTAGCTCAGTGTGGTCCTGTTCTCTGGCAGGGCTCTCCAGTGTTTCAGGCAGGAATGCCAGGGGCTGAACGTGGGCCCTCCTGCTTGCAAAGCAGGTGTCCTCCTGCACTGAGCTATGGCCCTTCTCCTCCATCATGCCTCCCTGCCTGTTCCTGTCTCAGGGGAAAGGAATACATGGCAGAAGGTCTTTGCCCACAACAAAAAACAGAGAAGAGGGGGCCACATGAGGCACATCTGGCAAGAGGGAAAACAGCAGAAGAAAAATGTATCTTCTCGGACCTCCATCTTCTCCTCTTCCATTCCCGGAAGTACAGGGAGGAAGGATCCAGAAGTTCAGTAACCAGATTCAGCCTACGAGTTCCAGCTTCACCAGAAACCTTTATTCTTCCACCATCTCCCCTAGACTCAATATTCTTCCTTGCACAGCAAGGATTGCTTTCTCCTTCGCACATACTAACACCATTATGAAACGGTTTCTCCAGACTACTCCAGAACCCTATTTGACCCAAGACAAATTGTTTTCCCTATTGCGCCACCTCGTAAGACCCTGCACTCCTCAAGAATTCTTACTCACTTCATCTCCAAGGTGAGGATGGTGTTCACTGAAGTAAATTTGCTGATGGGGATGCGGTAAGTGATGTTCCCTGTCCTATAGGCACAAACAGAAAATGATCAACAGCCATGCAAAACAGCCCCGAAGGAAGGAAACTGAAGAAGCGGCTACTGTATCTGAGTTGGAGCCACCCCACAGAGGAAATCCTGTATTTTGGAGCAATCTCACCATCAGTGAAGCTTTACATGCAGCTCCTGTCAACCCAATGCTTTCCAGATGTGTTGGGTCACTTGGCTGCACCTTGGCCATTCTCTCCCAAGTAGGGCTCAGGCTGGGGATCCTATACTGTGAGAGGCCACGGGGCCACGAAGCGCACTGCCCAGTACTGCCTGCTCTGATGGGCAGCGACTTGCCAAAGTCTCAGGCAGGGGCATTGCCTAGCCCTTCTTCCCAAGAATCATTTAATCAAAGGCAACAAGGTCTGAAGAACCTGGGAGGAATTGCGTACAGAGCAAATACTCTCCCTGTTTGCAGTTCGCTTTCAATCTGTCACTCCCAGTGGTGGAACTTTCAGCTACTATGTTCGACTTCCTGTAACTTCTGTCCACATTCAGACTCTACTGCTATGTTTTGTATGAACCCACAGCAAGGAATAACTTCCTCCTGACCAACAAACAAATGTATGCAAATTTTCATGACAATGATAATCTTTTTAGCTCAGTGGGATGTCTCTGTTTTCCCTCCTAGGGGTGCAGTCTGCAGACATCGCCCAGGCCTAGCAAAGCCTGGCAAGGCGCCACCCCTCATACCCACCTGCATTCATCGCCAGCAGCACAAGCCTGGGGTATGAAGGCCACGTTACTTTCCACCAGGGATACGGACTGGAGCACTGGAGCTGTTCCTAGAGCGGGGAAATGGCCAAGTCAGGGAAACAGGGTACTTAACATTTGGTGACAAAATCAAATGCCACACTCTGAAGCCATTCAGCACTCTTAAGACAACATTTCTATAGTCCATTTCTTCCCACCAAGTTCTACTGCTGAAGCATGGAGATTGCCCACATTCCCTTCCTATTTAGGGTCTCCCCGGGTAGGGAAAACAATAATTTCTCCTTAAAAAAACCCCCACCACGTACCCCCTTACTATTGATTGCACTATATAGCAGTGGTGGGTGATTCCAGTTCCAGAGAAGGAAATGTGAGCTTCCTTCTGAGGTACTATCACGTAGTTAAAATGAACTTTATTTCCTCCTTGCCCGTTCATCTCCTGATCAATCACTACTTGACATGGCAGGGGTATCAGTGAGTAAACTCAGCCTGACGGGGGGCAACACCTTCAGACACAAACAGCAGAGACAGACACAAACAGATTTCTTTCCCCGAGCTGAAGTGAGAGAATTTGAAATGTGTTTCACCAACTACATCTGTTCAGGAACTGGGTATCCATCAGGGCTTTGCACTTGACATAGTATGAAGTGGGTAAAATACCTTATGGGTCCACTTCCTTGGTATCACCTGAAGGTAGATTTGAGGCTGGATTTATCTAAGTCCATGTAGAGGAAAAGGGGACTTGTTCAGGGAGTTCTATCAAGATTTGACTACAGTAAAACACAGAATGGTGAGCAGAAATAGGGAAATGGACTGTTCTAGAGGAGAAGAGGTCATAGGGAAGCCCTCGGGTGACCAGATAATGTTAGGGAGATAGCAGGAGAGCAGCTGCAACCCAGCTAACACCACTGGTGAGCAACCTGCGGCCCTTGGAGGCCTTGGCTATCGGCTGCCACGTGCTTCTCTGAATTCCTCTACCCTGGAAGCCTGCTGCTCAGCAGTTTGGCAGAACAGAGAGAGCTAGTCTGTGCTGGGAAAGAGGCGGTGCGTTTGTGTGTGAGGAAAGGATATGTGCACAGATGGGAAAAGAATGGCCGAGGAAATGCCATCCCTGGCCACCACCTTCAGTCAGCCACTCCCATCACTGTCATGCAGGTCGCAGAGGAAAATAATGTAATGCCGGGTCAAAGTCTAGATGTCAGTCAGTCAGTCAGTCAGTCAGTCGGGGAGAAGGCGATGCTTACCATCCTGATTGGTGCTTTCTGTACGCAGCTCCTCCCTGGCCCCTGGTTGGCTGATGCTGCGCCGCTGTCGTGGCAGCCCAGGAGGGAAGCTGTTGTGTGTTAGAGGGAGGTTGGAGATATATTTGGACTTGCCCTGGATGTGGGTGAAGGGAGAGGATGGGCTGGCATTCGGGCTGCCAAAGCCCCGTGATCTCTCAGAGGTCTTTGGCCACTTGGTGTGGGAAGCCACTTTGCTTGTGACTCCCCTCGATTTGGCTTTAATGTTGGTCACTGGCAGGAGTGACATGAGACTTTGGTCTGTGAGGGAAGAGCAACCAAAATACAATACAATACAATACAATACAATAGGCAGTGGAATAGTATAACAAGTTACAACATGGGCACAGAGTGAGCAGAGTCCCCAAGATGTAGTCTAGGAAAGTTTTGTTCTCACTGACTTGGTAAGCCTGTGTTTGGACTATACCACTTTAGACTGCAAGAGACTCACATAGTTGAATTCTTTGGGCAAACAAACAAGCAAAACCCCTCCCCATAGAAAACTAGCAGGTACGGATGAAGCTAGCTTTGAATTTTTCTTCCACTGCTTGTTGCTTTTCCATGTGGAGGGAAAACTACAGAGAAGATGTTAACCACAAAAGCTTTCACTCACCCAGAGTCTGAAGTGGTGTAGCCCAGACACAAGTGTACTTCCTCAGTGATAACTAGGATTGTGGAACATGTCTGCCCCCCGCTCCAGGATTGCCTTAATAGCCCCAAGCACATGGAGCATCTGTCCAGAAGTAAATAAAAGATGCCTGCCTAGGAAACAGTTTGTGCCGGGAAGTTGATGAGCGGATCAACTCACCCACAAATGTATATTCTCCTCTGCGGGATGTCCCTCCCAAATTTAAGGCATCTTTGTCTCCTATGTTCACAAAGTGCACCGTTGATGCTATTTCCACAGCAATGCAGTGTAGATCAGAAAGAGGAGAAAGGATAGGAAATTTCTCTCCAGGACAATATATCTGAAGCTCTTGCCTTTAAACTTTCATGCTAAAATGAAGTTGTTTGCTTTTATGGGGCCACAGTTTCTCTCCCCCTCCTTTTTTATATTTTTGCTCTGCTGGACTCAAAGAGTTGTCCTCCTTATATCAAAAAGCTGCAACAGTCAGGTAAAGAACTTATCCTCTAAGTTCAGCTGATGCACCCTGGAATTGTGGTGCATGCATGCCTGTGGCCCCCACCCTTGAAATCTTCCATGGTGCCCAACAGCTACTGGGAAAGGTTGTCCAATTATGTACCCACATCCTGTTGTCATTGTGCATTTGGATGGCTAGAGATGCTGTGAAAGGGTGTTTGCTGAAAAGAAAGCAAAGATAGCAGGCAGCTGCCCCTTTTAGCAGACAGCATAGCCAACAGTGATGCTCCAAAGAGGGGCAAACAAGTAGAGAACGAGTGATGCACAGGGCACCCTGTATGTTCTGGACAGAATGGTCATTACCTGTCCGGTTGGTGGCGACTGTGGTGGTAGCCTCAGAAGCTGCAGCAGAAGACACGTTGGGAACAGAAGAACAGCACACGGAGAAACACGGTGGGTTGAAGCAGATGACTATGCTATGCATAGAGGAGCCATGGAGAGAGTCGGGCACGCGTGTTGCGGCTGCAAGATAAAACAACAGAAGTGCTACATGTCCTAGAGCAAATGGTCAAGAGTTACAGCAACCCTCCCAAAGAGAAGACCTGATTTGCACCATTTTGCCTTACTTCTCTCAATTCTGGCATTTCTTTTTCTGTATGCCCACAGACCGACTTTGTCTACAGCAGAGGGCATACGTATGATACCAGCATTCCATGACTCTATGAGTAGCGCTGTCCAAAATAAGTAATGCTGAGTGTATTAAAAGTACAGGTGAATGCTGGCAGCTTCTTCTTACGTGCGATGGCTGGCAGCAGATTTACACAGCCTGTTCACAGACTCAAAGAAGGATCAGTCACATTTCCCACTCCTGAGTCTCTGGTTAGGCAAGTCACTGGCATGGAAGGTCAAAGCATGGGGAGACAAGAGGGGTCGATTCAGAGACACTTTCTCAGTGACAGCTGCAAGTGACACTTACCGTGCTGTGATGGGGAAGCAGCATCAGGTGTGCGTGATGAGGCAGCCGTGGAAAACATGATCTGATTCTTATCCATGTTTGCACTGGACCTAAAATGCCAGAAAAGTATAAGCATAAATTTCTGATGCAACTAAAAACATAGTACATACAGCACTAGAAAGCAATGGAACAAGGAGGCAGCCGAGTGTGAAAACAATGCACACATGAAGAGAGGGAAAGAGATCAAGAGGGAAAGCAGGAAAGCTAATGACAGAAAGAAAGCAGAGCTGGGTTAGGAATATACTTGGTCAAAGTTACAAAGGGTGTACCAGTCACATGCAGCCTAAAATCTGTTCCATGTTGGAATGAAGGTGAAATTCAGAACTTGACAAATGATGTCTTTCTAATCCACATCAGTTGCAAGCACACTATTTTTACTGCTGTTTTCTACCTGATGTGGATGATATTTTTCATAGACATGGACATGTAAGTACAGATTTCATGTTGCAAGCAGAGAGATATTTTCAAAAATCTTTGCACTGCAATCTGAGGATTTAAATCCCGTACCCATTACATATGGTACACTGGTGGTCACTACAGCCAATTCTTCTGACCTGATCAAGGACTGTTGATGTATGAGAAGGAGGAATGTCCTTGACCAGTCATCCCCAAGATGGTACCCTCAAGATGTTTTAGACCACAGCTCCCAGTAGTTCTGACCACTGGCCATGTTGGCTGGAACTGATGGGGGCTTAAGTCCAAAACTTCTGAAGGGCATTAGGTTGGACTAGATTTTTGCATTGTTCTGCTATCCACTGGAATGTTGGCCACCACTGAGGGAGCCTTCCTATAATGCATTTGGAGTGAAGGCCATAAACACATCAGACAGATGGAAATCCAAAATTTTTTATTTAGAAGTGAATTCCACTGGAACAAATTGGGGTTTCCTCCATCTATAAAATATTAGAAATGTGCTTTTCATTTCCCAATTGGTATTTTAGCTCTTCTTAATATCCAAGTTGACTCTTTTTGGACAAAATTCTTCTGTTCTCTTGGTTTCAGTAGATGAATTAAGCCTGTATTTTTAATTTTCACCCTTTGCCTTTCCTTGTTTAGGAGCACAAACATATGGACAGATTTAAGAGGAGTGGGAGAATAGCATGGAAACATGACACTACAGATCAGAAAGGAAGCAACATTTACATGAACAATATACTGGGTGGGAAAGCATACCGTGGACAGAGAGCGACTGGGACGCCAGGACCTCTGTGCCGAAAAAGAGCCAGAAGGCAAGTGGGAGGCACAGCAAAAGAACTATGGAAGACAGACGGGAACAAAATATACAGGAGGGGAGAAATGGAGAGACACCAGCAACAGAAACCATAAAAAAGGAAAAAATGGATGAGAACAGGGGATTGAAACAGAGAGAATGGGGTTGGGGAAGAGAAAGATTGATCAGTTAATTAGTTATGAGCATTCCAATAATGATGTGTACTGTCTAAAATTTGTAGGTGCAAACTGACATAAGGTCAATCCTCTGAGAGTCCTGACTTGACTTACTGTAAAACCAGCCTAGATTCTGGAAATATATAATTGGCTATCTGAACAAGATTACAAATATGCCCATGTTTGAAGCTACATGTCTATCAATTTCTTCATTTCTGCGGACTGAACTCATTGCATTAAAATTTGGCTTCTTGAGAATCCCATTTTCTTTCCAGCAAATACTGAGGTTACTGGAGAAAAACCCCCAAACATCTGTGTAACCTCAGGTGGAAAGGTCCAAAAATCTGATACAGGCAGGGCAAGTAAGATCATGGGTAGACAAAGACCAGGTTCTCATGACGACAAGATGCTTGCTATGCCACAATAGCATATTAACCACTAATCCATCCCCACCCAGCATGTGCAGTGGGGGAAATGAACCACTCTGGCTTATTTCCCCCACTGTGAACATGCAAACAGGTCCAGCTACTGGGGCTTCAGCTCTCTAATGACTGACATGCAGTTTTCCAATGGCTCTCAATGTTCTTTGTTATCCTGACTTTGTTTTCTACCACTGACTAGTTGTGTTCATGTTCTTTAATAATTTATGAATTGCACATTCAGAAATTTGCAAAATTTACTCTGAACACCACGTACAGGTTTCTTAAAAGCTCAGATTAGTGTTAGTTAATGAAAAGAAGTATATTTGCTTACATACTTCAACTAATTTTGTTAAGAGAGACAGCACATTTGGTCTTGCATTCTAACTTCAGGGCTGCACAGAACAGAAGGTGAGACATAATGGCCAGCCTTTTGTTAAGGGGAAGCACACAAAATCTGCTTGCATGCTTCCCTGTAGCAAAAGGGTGGCCACTGTGGGAAACAGGATGGCTCATCAGATGGATCTTTGGTCTGAGCCAAAGCTCTTTGTTGTGAGCACCACTCTCTTTCCAACAGACCAAGGAGAAAGACTTCTCAATACTATCTTTCTTTGTGTCAGGCTGACTTTGCAATGCAGAGTAACATAAAAATTGTTAAATAAGCAGCACCTATCAAGTTAATAATCCCTCTAATTTGAGGAGTTAGTTCTTGCCCACATCAGATGCTGATTCCTGCTCTTTCCTTCTCCTCCAAACAGGCTGGCTCCTCCCTCAAGAAAGTTTTTGCTGCTTGTGGCAGGAATGCTGAACACTACTTAATTAGCCTGCTCGTTCTACCTGATAATGAACCCCTGCGCTGATGAACTCACACCCTTCCCCCTCTGACCCTCCTTGTTCTGCAGCATCTCCCTGAAAACCAGAGGCATGTTTTTCAATGACACATTTCAACCTCTCTTCTTCTTGCTTATATTCAGACTCTGAGCTCCCTAGCTTGGAGTGCTATAGTTTGGGAGAAGCAGGCCCAATCCTTACACTTTTCTTATGTGCATATGTTACTAAAGGACTAAAACAAATTCCCTGCTCAGAATATATGACAGAAATGCAATGCAATTCCTAAACAGGACAGACAACCCCAAAGCTGGTAAGTCTAAATCCGAATCTGTCACGTATCCTATGATCCTGCCTTAAACTGTGCTTTTAAACACCTGTAATGAAGCAGTTCTTGTCATTTCCCTGTGGGACAGGTTCCCAAGAAACAGCTTACATGTATTCTGGCTAATTCCATCCATCTACTGGAAAGTTTTTCCTCCCATTCTCCTACTACTAAAACCCTAAGCCAATGAAGCAGAATGATGGAAGATTCAGGACTGATAAAAGGAAGCTCTTCACACAGCACAAAGTTAAGCTATGGAATTCTCTGTCACAGGATGTAGTGACCATCTCCAGTTTGGACAGCTTTAAAAGAGAGTTAGCTAAAGTCATGGAAATGAAGACTAGCAATAGGTACAGACTATTTCCACTAGATCAGTTGATGTGGAACATGAGTGAGATAGTGCTATTGTACGCTTGTCCTACTTGCAGACTTCTCAGAGGCAGCTGGTTGGCCATGATGAACAGAATGCTGGCTAGGTGGAACCCCCAGTCTGATCCAGCATCACTCTTGGTATGTGCTTAAAGAGTTTACTATAAAGTGTTCTTTTCTTCAACTGAGCTGACAGCCCACAACCATATGACTGTGGCTGCATCAGAAATCCTTTAAGACTCCTTCCAGCTATTATATTGAATCTTTTTTGTACCTTCTTATACTCTTCTTTTCCCACTCTTCTGCAAATCTCCAACTATGGAATCAAAAGACAGACACATAATTTTCTGAAGCTTGCGATCAAAGGAGAGGTAAAGCAGCTACATACCCTTCAATGTCCACAATATCCTCTTCGTTGCGGTAGCTTAGCACATAGAGGGTAGACATGGATACAACACTGGGAAAGATAGGAAAGAAGAAATTGAGCATCTAACAATGTTAATGTTAGATTAATGTTTCAGGAAGAATGTAAGGGTTAGGGTTAGGCTCCAAACAGGGTTAGGGTTAGGCTCCAAATGCTGTAAGGGTTAGGGTTAGACTCCAAATGCTGTAAGGGTTAGGGTTAGGCTCCAAATGCTGGCTCCAAACAGCCAGCATTTGTGTGTATGAGTGACTCAGGCCCAATGAGAACTTTACAGTTTAGGAGAAATTCTGAGGAATCACTACTCATAGCTCATCAACTTAATTTGGAAGTTACCTGTGGTTGAAAATGACACCAGCCCATAAAAATCTGAACTGCAATTTGATTAGAACCACACCTATTTGCTCTGCTTTCCAGTTAATGTACATGAGGCATTTACTCTGCACTTGTTATTCCCCTTTCGTTGTTGCTTACAGTTTTTTTTAATAATATTGTGACCCTCCAGTTATGCTTCTGTTTTTAAGCAGCAGTTTCAGCAAGCTATTTTTTTAGAGCAGGGAGAATGTGGGATTATTTAAAGAAAGCGAAAAGAAATGCTTTGTGTTTGCACTATTCCACTTCACCACAGTGCCACCTAGAGGTTATATAGTGGAAGAACAAGAAGGAAAATGTTTGCAGTGCTCAAATCTTAATTCAGCAAGGAACTGAGAATAGTGTGAATTAATGTCCTTGTGTAGAAAATCTCTTCAACTTGCTGTCAGACTGAATAAAAGTGACTTGCCCATTCACTCACATGCCAGAAGGCCATCTTCATGCATGTTTCCAGTTGTGTATGCTGCATTCATCTTTTGGATGTGAAACAACAGGTCAGATATGCAGGCACTCACCTAAATGCCATAATGATCACCAGGGCAATGATGGTGCCTTGCAAGAAACGTTGGCTGATGCAAGCTTGGTCCGTGACAACAGAAGGAGCCTGTAAAGGCACAGAAATTGACAAGATCACCAGGAGGCTACCTTTGTATTCCTACTTCCCTTTTTCTTGCTTCACTGTTCTTGTGAAAACAAGTTGCAGTGTGCCTTCTCCTTCCATAAAGTCCATTCTCCCCAGGAAAAATGTGCCTTTTGTACATGAGCAATCGTGAACACGGACTCCAAATGTCTGTCTTGTGCAGCCTTCTTACCTTGCTGGCTATTTTGGGGGGCCTCTTCTTGTGTGGCATGCTTCCTGCACGACTGAACTGACTTCCTGCTTGACTATATTGGAAAGAAAATTAAGACGATGATGATGATTTCTAACTACCCCATGCATCCAGTCCACCAGCACTCTTACCACTGCACATGTCTGCTCCTCACTGTTCCAGTGTCTTAATTTGCTTGGCTTTATCATGCACACATGGATACCCTTATACATTGGTTTCAGTTTTCCAAAAAGGATGAGGAAAATGTAACCATGAGATAGGAGTGAGACATAGCTGATGTTAAGCTTCTGCAAGGACAAGATAGCAGAATACGTAACTGCCTCCTTCATAAAAAGGAGGCTCCTATACAAAGGGGAAGGGGTATGGTCATGACCAGAAAAAGGAGCAATATGGAATTTCTATGCAGATGAATCACACAACAGCTTGCACCCTTCCACTGAAGCACAAAATGAGAGGTGTGATATAGAAGCAGTGCACAAACACCAAGAGACCCCCTGAAGCAGTAAAGACTGTACTACCATCTTGCACAAGCAGCAATATCACAGTGTGTGATTTTACAGATGCTTTCAAGTTTGTTTTTAGGCTAAAGACATATTAAAGCGGTATAAATACAGTAAATAACCTTTAATACCTTAAATAGAAAAGCCAATAAAAGAAGCTGTGCTAGCTCAATTTGACTTTTGTTATTTATCCTCTCTGCAAACATACCTGGGGCTTGTAGAGCCATATTTAGATGGAGGTTCCTCTCTGGGGATTTCAGATACTTGCTCTGCCTGAAGATCCCATTTTTGCTCATGCTCATAGTACAGCAGGGATACAGGTGTTCCATGTGGACACCACCAGCTTCAGAGGCCTGAACTGCATGGTTCTGCCTCCATTTCATAACTGATGGGAGAAGTATCATGCAATTTGGCCCTCATCGCTAGCACTGTGGAAGGAGGACAATGCACAAGCATGTTCCCTTGCAGAAGTTTCAAGATCGTCATCTGATCCTACTCGTAGCTCTACTTGTTTTCCTCTCAATGCAATCCTGTACATGCAGGACTCCATGGAGAGACAGAAGTATGTATTCATTCATTCATTCATTCATTCATTCATTCATTCTAGTCATTGTGCTACCTGAATGCTCCAGAGCTGACTGTTGATTTCATACTGTCCAGGCGTTTGAGCTTGGCAAGTTTATGACTCCACCTCTCCAGTTCATCAATCCGGGTCTCCAGGTTGTCTGTGAGCTTGCAAAGCTCCTTCACAGCTCCCACGTTTTCCATAAAAATACGTTCCTGTCAGGAGAAAACAGAAAATTTGTTCTGACACTCTTTTCTTGTTCTCAAATTCTCATACTTGATCTACCCTTTATTTACATGTAACAAGGGTGTCATTTTTGTGGTTCCATGAAGGACAAAACCTTGACAAAATTACTATGTCAGGGAGACGGCCTGAATGCTAGTAATTTCTTCACTGTGAAGAAAAGTTGATATTTCCATGAAGGTGCTTCAGTACAAATTTCATCACCAAGCAGAAACAATATGGTAAGATCAGAACAAAAGGGCTTTACAATGTCACAAGACAACTTAGAAACAGATTCAAAGAAAGGGACACACAGAGGCACATCTTATAAGAAAATGGCTCATCCTGAATTACTTCCCACAACTTTACAGAGCTCCAGCTTTGCCAGGTTCACAAAGATGAAACACCAGCAATCTGTGTAAAGCGTCACTGTATATGGTCTGTGTAATTATTCCATTACATGTCATCATTCTTTCCCTCTCCTTCCACATAAAACATCAATTCTAAGAAAATTTAAAGGTAGCAAACAATATACCTGTTGAAGCAATATTTAACTAGACATCAAAAAGCCAAAAATGTTTTTTTTTTTTTTTTTAAGAGTAAGTCATTCCTGATTTCAGAACACAGAAAAACACTTTGGTTTTTCTTTGGTCACTCTCTGAAGGTAAGAAACTATTTTTAATTAATAAATGAATCCAATTTATTATAAAATTGTTCTGCTGCTGTATTTTTTCTCATGTTCTCATTTAAGGTATAAATTTAGCCATAAGAACAATTTCCCACATTTTTCCTGTCTGGTCATTCATTGGAGGTATGACTAATGATGTAGGATGTTATAATAGGGCAGGCATTTAGCCAAGAAGGATAATTTCAGTGTTATTTGAACGAGAGTTATCATTTTTAAGTGTCCTGTATCTAGGTTACAAAATGACATTCTCAATTGACAGTTAGTAGATTCACTGTACCAGTTCACAAGTAGAGGATTATTTGGACACAATATCAAGGGGGGAGGAGAGTGTCCAGGTATCACATGAGCGCAAACTTCGACAATATCGTATTATCTTTTCCTTTTTATAAGAGAAGCACTTTTCATCTAAATATGAAATAGAAGGTATTTATAAAGTAAACATAGGAGGCAAGATAACCTCTTTTTCACTTTCTCTCCTGGCTTTCTAGAAATACAGCCCCCACCCTCCCCATCTCTTTAGGGTAAAGAAGAGAAACAATCTTTCTTACCTTCCTCAGTTAAGCCACCTGAGTATCTGCCTACAGAATGACGTTTTGAACCAGTTGCCATTTTGTTTAGTAGTGTTAGTTTCAGTTCAGGTAAAAGACAAAGGACAAGAGCAAGCAAGACACAATGTAAATTATGCTACATTAGGACCAACTATTGTAGAACTATACCAATAGTGTTATCTGGTGTGCTTATTTGTGCAAGAGAATCCATGTGCCAGTTACTGCTGTTGGCACTGTGCAAGAATAGTTTGTACTAGTGCAATATAATTTACATTAGCTGATGCATCCTGTTGGGAAAACCCTTCTTGGGACTGTTTTAACTTCCTCTACAATAGATTCAAATGAATAAAGTCATAACTCTCAATATTTCCTTTTTAATGTCAGGTTAAGTCTGAAAGCATGATAACTTCCTAAAGGAACCCTAAATTAAAATCTGTAGTATACCATTTGAAGAAAATGAGAATACAAGTGTCTGATTTTGTTTGCTTTTATTATATTGGGCTTTTATTTTAAGAATATTCATTTACTTACAAAGAAAATGGAATTATGTCCCAAATACATTGCTGTTCTTAGCAATTATTCTCCTGTTTGTTGCTTACCTCTTCTTCAGAGGGATACACTCACCTTATTCACCACTAGGAAGTTTTCTATGGTTTTCCCACCAGTAAAGACAACATCCCCAGTATCTTTCACTGCTTCTGGGAGAATCTCTCGCACCTCTTGAGCAATGACACCTGCACAGAAATGGCAACAGGTACCACAATAGTCTGGGCCACAGAATACAGAAGCCCAGAAGTATTTACTAGGTAAATAACTAGGATGATTCATGCTGAGTTTTGTGAACTAAAGCTGTGATTGAAATATTTGTGCTATTTTAGAAGGCTGTTTCACTCAGCAGCTCTTTGCAGCAAAATAGCTTTTTAACTTTTCAGAGTTTAAGAAACAGTTTGAAGGTTTAGAAGAGTAGTCAATATAGAACTTTTCTAGAAAAATGCTGTTTGTGCATAAGACAGTTTCCCCATCACAACCCTCCCCACCCACCCCTACATAAAAATCCCTCAGGTAAGTTTAAGCACTGATTTGGGCCGTAGGAAGTGGTGGATTGGTTTAAAATAACTGTGGCATAAGGCACAGGCCTCCAGTTGTCCAAAATGTTATGCAAGAATAACATAGCATACCTGTTCTATGATAAGGTGAAATAAGAAAGGGACTAATTAAGGTTCAATCCACAAGTTAGACAGATAGAAATATCCCAGTGTGTAATGACTTAATCCACATTTGATCACCAGTGCTTCCAGTCATGCATACAAAGGCACGTGGCACTTCTGCATCACTGGAGAAACAGTGATATCCTTGCAATTATGACTGGCAGGTAAAGAGGTGCTGCCTTCCATAATGAAAGGGTGGCATCAAAGTAAGCTCTCCTATCATGATTTAATGACACTGAGCTAAGGAGGACAGGATACTGCTGCCCTGGAGTCTTTCAGTGTTGGGGGTTTTCATTGACCCAGATATTGTGCCTGTTCTTTACTCAATCTGAACTCTCAGAATAGGAGAATGTGTGTATTGTAGTCATCAAAACAGAAGCAAACCTTGGGTAACACATTGCCCTGCTTGTACAATTCAGAATATCTGAGGGCTGCTGCACAAAAGGATAGAGAAGCATGGGAATGAAGGCTCCAGGACTGGTAAGGTAAAGGATGTCTTGGATCACAGATACAGTGAAATCAACTGACTTGGATTTTGCTAGTAGTAGAGGTGTGAGGGTCAATGCAGGGACTGCACCTGTTTCGGACGTGTTCTCCAGGCCTACAGTGTCAGCGAACTCTGGCTTATAATTATAGTGCACCAGTCGCATACGAGATATTCTCTTCAGCTGTTCTGTGGTATCCACCTGAAACCACAAGGAAAGATTCACAAGAGTGATTCCAGGTGCCCAAATGCTGCAGCTCTTGAGACCCACCCCCCCATACACTTTGCATCAGGTCAACCCTCCCTGGAATAGGAAAGGTATTTCTGGGAATGAGCCTCTCAGAAGCACATAGCCACACAGAGCACCTTGAGGGCTTAAGCTGCTTTCTTTTGGGTACTTAGGAGGAGTCATGCTCAGTGCAGAGGGTGCTTCTGAATAGCAAAGCCAAGAGAAGCAGAGAAGTCATAGGGAGCAGGTCAGAGACACCCTCCATGATGAAGCTTGGGCTTTAAGAGAGAACCCAAGGATTTGTAGAACAAGTGACTGGCCGAGCAGTTCTCCATCCTCTCCCCTACATGTAAACCATCCTCTCCTAACAATCAAAAATTTCCATTGTATTTTTCAGGCACACATGATATGCAAATGAAAATGGAGCTCCATATGCTGTAGAGCAGGAATGGGGACCCTGTGGCTCCCAGATGCCATTGGACTACAATTCCCATCACCCTCTAACCACTGGGCATACTAGTTGGGAACAACAGGAGGTAGAATCCAACATCATCTGGTGAGTCACAGGTCCCACCTTTGCTGTAGAGCCTTTTAGCAAGATGAAGCCTTGGCCCTGTTTCATGTCCACACTGTATGGAAAAAACATGTAGAATGCATGCCACCCATCACAAGACAGAACATGGGAAGGAGTCAAGGATTTAAAATCTTTAATTAATTTATTTAATGAAATGAATCACTCCTAGACCAGGTGCTGGGGACATTTAATAGAGGAGGATTGTTACTTTCAAGCCCCATGTGCAAGTATCCAAGAGGCAAGTGAAGAGGCCTGTGGAAAGCGAAATGCAGAGCACAAACACTTTTGGTTCAATCCAGCATGGAACTTTTATGTCCTCACATTCTTAACTGGATCTAATGAGGACCTTCTTGAAAAGCTTGTGCTGAAGTACCTGCCCCAATCCCCCTCGTCCCCACCTTCTTGGCTGCCTGTATTTAGAAAGTGAGTCTGTGAGCAGCACATAGGGCAAAAAATTCAACATGAACTCCAAAGGTAATGAAATCTGCTTTTAAGCTATCCTCTGAGTCTTCTGAATTCTGGGCTCCTAGCTACAGCTAAGAGCAAAATGTCTACTACTCCACAGCTGTGTTTGTTCCAGAGACCCAGTCTGTTTCCATGGTGTTCTCTATTTGGCTAACAAGGAATAGTACCCACATCTAAAAGGAGAAACTTGGTTTTCACAAAACATTTCAGTCCACTGACTCAAACGGAAGGGACTTCTGTGAGTTTCCTACTGATCTACTTTGCTGACTGTATGAAGCTCTTACCTCCTGGATATCATCTTTTACTCGGATGTCTGATGGGTGCATGAGGGATCCCATGATTTTTACATTTCCATGGACAACCAAGGCTTCATCAGGGCGGTCCGTGTTGATGCCAACGCGGCCGTGGTGAAAGACAGTGTCAGGGAGTTGAGCACGCTGCCAGAGCACATCACTGTCACTCTCAAACTGACCTGGGTTGGAGGCCTGAAAATAAGGAGGCCCAAAGAAAATGACCCAAGATTATTGTCAATAATAATAGAGAATTGCACAGAGAATCAAAGATCTGAGGAGAAAAGACTGGTGCTCTTAGAAAAGACCAAATGCAGGATGAAATCACCTCCTCCTCCAGAAGGCAAGAAAAAAATGTTCATTTGTATATATGAAATATATATATATATAAATGAACTTGCCAACTGACTGATAGTGACACTGAACAAGAACAGAGAACAAGCGAAAAGTCAGGAGACAGAAAGACCACCAGCAAGTTTACAATCAATTACAGGGGCTCTCCACAGCATGTTTATTATCCTAACACCTTTGCAAGCGTACCACAACCTAGATTTTTCTGGCCACTGTGACTGAAGTCCAGTTATGCTCTGTATGAAGCCCTGTGGCAGGGTGAAATGTAAGTTACACAGATGCCTTATAGATTATTATGGGAATTTTGCTTTGAAAGGTTTATCGGTGGCAGCATGGGTAAGAGCACAAAGTTCTTTGTCCATGTTCGGGGGCAGTGATACACCCTCCATCAAAATGTACTTTACATTGTACCTTTCATCTAACACTCAGTTGTTTATAACATGAGGAGAGTGTCTGATCCCATTTACCGACTAAGCACAAGAAGCCCTGGTTCTGAGTCAGCTTCTGTTTACAGACCCAGAGAGATAAATGTCCTTTTCAGAACAGAGAAGTTATGTAGCAACCAAACCTCTTTCTGTGTGGGAAGTATTCTCTTTGTGAGGTAAAGCAGTCCCCACTTACAAAATAAATGCTCAAGGGATTCCTTTGGAAGTCATGGGGTGGGACTATAAGAAATTATGGTTACTATAAGACATGCAACAGCAACTCAAGATGAAGGAGGGGATGGGAGGAACAAACCAACCAGTCAGCGGTTCATTACTTAAAGGGGCAAGGGAACATTCCTGGGCCCCAGCCTGCCTTTCCTGGAATCTGGAAGTCCTGGGCCTCTTCCCTCAAATGTGCAGGGGCAGCTCATGGTACCTCAGCGGGAAGGAAAAGTCTTTTTGCACCTGCATCAGTCCCGCAAGGAGTATAATTTGATGTGAGCTTATTCCCCCAAACTCTTGCTTAGCACCTGCTGAAGTTCTCTCCTTTCTAACTTCTCTACCTCTCATTATGTTAGAACTCAGTGGGTCATCCTGCAAAGCTGTCCAGTGAGACATTAAGGACAGATGAAAGGAAGTACTTCTTCCCACAGCATCTAGTACCACAAGAGGAGGTAACAGCCACCAATCTGGATGGCTTCAAAAGCAGATTGGACAAATTCAAGGAGAACAAGGCCAGTGGTGCTTCCCTCCATTATCAGAGGCAGGGTGCCTGCGTATTCCAGACTCTAGGGAACACGAGTGGAGGGTGCTACCATGCTCACACCCTACTTGTGGGACTCTTACAGGCAGCTGGACTAGATGGACCGTTCGCCTGCTCCAACATGCTTATGTTCTTGTGCTCATCAGAGCTAGTTCACCCATCAAACACACACACCTTTCCCCCTTCAAATACTCTTCACCACTATTTCATCTAGTCCAGCTGCCATGTCCTCAACACTGCGCACAGATTCCAGATTGGCTCTAGAGTTCAATTAATTCCTCCTTCCCACCCATGCTTCTCCCAGAATTCCTGCCATGCTGGCAACCTCAACAAAATTAAATCCTGTGCTTTCTGTGCTTGTACAGAATATGCATTATTGGGAGCAGGATTCAGCATTCCAAAAACTGCTGCCCTTTTCCTTTTTCTAAGGTGCTCATACTTATGGGTTGAAAGCATGTCAGCAACATCTGATGAAATCTCCAAATCCACAGATAGGCATCAGCGGGATTTCCCGGGACTGGGACATCTATGTCCAGAGTGCAGTTTGCCCTACTCCATGTCCAGCAAAATAACTTATTCATTTACATTGTCATTACATGTATATACTGCCCCATAGCCCGCAGGCCTCTACTCAAATTTACGCAGTCTGCAAAGTTCAGATCGTTTTCTAAAGCACATTTTTCTGGTTCTATGTGGGACTTTCTCATTCATCACTTCAGATTAAAGCATGGCCTTGTGCTAAGTGCGCCCTCAGTGTTGCTTTCATGAGGGCACCGTGTCGAAAGCTCACTGCGAAGTCCTCCAGTCATATCCAGATAGCGCATGTTTTGAGACAGACTTTCCCCCAGTAAGCACAACAGGAAAGCCCTAGAGCAGGATGGCACACCTTGTGACCTTACAAGTCAAATGCAGACATCATCTCACTTGCTTCATTGCCACCTGCTTCCTGGAAAACCAGAATGAGGGGTGAGGGAGGGTGCTCGGGAGCAATTGTGTCTACTGCCCTGGTCATTTCCCCATTCCACAGATCAGCCGTGGCAGCCACCAAACAAGCTTTTGTTTTGCTTCCCATTCAGAAGTTCAGGGACTGCCTTTCTGTGTCCACTGTAAGCGCACACCAATCATTTCGGCACCAGGCAAAGACAGTTCTATTTTCTAGACATTTTAGTAATTAAGTAAGTGAGCTGGTTGGAGCCAGGGGTCAGACTAGATGGCCCAGGAGACCCCTTCTGACTTGCTCTGTTTCTATGTTAGTAATTAAATAGTGTTGAATCGATTTTAAATTCTGTATGAATTTTACTCATGGTTTTAGTCTACTATATGTGCTTAAAATAATGTTAGTTAACAAGGTATGTACTTGTCAAAATTGCATTATTTTTGTATTTAATTGGTTTTAATTGTTCACCACCCAGAGACTCCTATATAGAACTACTGGGCCAGTTTATAAATTTAATAAATAAATAGGCAAACAAATAAACAAATAGGCCAACAAGCAACCTAGTGGATTAAAATTTCTACAGGGATTCCCAACAGCTGCATGCCATAGAGTGCAACTGAGTAAGTGTGCAGAAGAAGCTGCCCTCATGCTGTGGCCCCGCTATCTTTGCGATAAAGATAGGCAAACTATTCGGATGGCCTGAATAGTGATGCAAGCACTGTCTGTTCATTTTTCATAAAGGGAATTCTTCACCAAGAGGTCCTAGTATGAAATACTGCCAAGTCTAGCCTCTTTCTTGCATTCCTGCTAGGTGTGTTTTGCCCCAGATTCTCTAACCCTACAATTGCTTAAAACCTTTTGCCCATCCTCCCTTATTAATTTAAATTAATTCTCTACCATTCTTCACCAATATTCTAGCATGGTTTCAAAGCACTTAAAGCAGTAACAAAAGATATAATGTAAACTAAAAACAACAGTGCAGCATTGGAAATAAAACTAGGCAGAGTGGTGGTTAATTCCCAAAGGTAAGCAGAAATAACAAAACTTTACCTGCCTGCAGAGAGCAGGGAGAGCTTGTTCAGGTTTTTCCTACAAAGGAGTTTCATTAGTCCTGGGTTCCTTTAGAAAAAGAACTTCTTCATGCCAGGCAGGTAAAGAGCAGAGCATCCCTTCTCTTTCTCCTCCTATATTTTTATTTTATACTGATAATTTTAATTTTGTATTTGTAAATCAATGTATTTTTTGTATTTTTATATTTAATGGTAATTTATTATGTACTATTGTATTTCAATGTATTATATCATGTTGTATGCCGCCCCTTGCCGAAACCTCGGGGCGGCTTACAACATGAT